GGGTTGGTCTTTTGCCCCACCCCATAGTGTCCTAAATTGTTGAAAATTTCAAACCGGTACAGTAATAGAAATAGTGAGTTAAAGTTTTTTCCATAGAAGCAACTGAATCGTACTGGCATGCTTAGGTTTACAGAAAACGTTAAAAAGATTCACAGTACTATCGAATAAACATAGAATAAATATTCCCTAATATCATACATGGAGCTAAGCTAGTGATACAACAAATTCCCAACCAATGTCATAGTTTGAGTCCGTGGGCTTATTTGGTTGAAGTTGGCACTGGGAACCAAGATTGCTGGCGGGGTCCCTGGAAGGGCCGAAGACCGCTCCTTAACAGAGCGTGTATCTCTCATCCCAGCTTTAACTAGGTCTTGTTGCCTGCACATTCAGGGGTATTTATGAGTATTTAGTGAGGTAATCTATGTGACAGTGGTATAGACATGCTGTCACCTACCATATGCTTCTCTGTAGCCGATGATGATCCAAAAGGGACCCCTGTGAATGCCCCAGGATAAACTTCCTGCCACTGATGACAGAACAAATCAAAGCACAGCAGACACCTGAAGTAGCTTCTTGGTGCGAAAAAAAAAGCTGCATTATCATACATATTGTGTAGGTAATTTATACAATATACCCATTGGAATTTCCTCTGACAGCGTCCCAATACTTCATGTAAAACAGTTCTTGAGCGTTAAAAGAAACAGGCTATATATCCTAGCCCGATCACTTTCAATCCCAACCAAACTTCTGTGGGAAGCTCAAGTTTCAGGCTGTGGAGAGAGTGTGAAGCTGTGAAATGCTCAAAACGAGGGGCTATTTGTGGCTGTAATGCAAGATGAGGCCAGCATGCACACTTGATCCCCGAGAGGCGGTGTCTGTCGGAAGGGCTAGCATATTTCAGTGGTTTCTGCTGAGGAGAACACGCCAGGAAGAAAACTTAATACGGCTAGGCTGGAAGGGGGATCGCTCTGTCCCAGCTGCAGCCTATCATAGCAGGAAGGCTGTGTGAGGGAAACAGGTTGCTTAAATACTTTTCCAGCTCAGTTGTACAATCAGGGCTTCTCACTTAGAAGCACAGGACTGGCAGTGCCGGGCCGTCAAAGTTTCCTCCTTCCCAACATCAAGATAAAGTGAAAGCAAGCAGGCACTCGGAAAATTACTGGTGTTCTTCCTCATCAAGGCGCATGGCAGAAAATTGGTCACATTTCATTTGGGTTCAGTATTTCCTGTACTCAAAGCTATCCATAGCAGAGCCCCTAGAAAGTAGTTTCTTCTTAAAAAAGATTTTTTTTTAATTAATTTATTTTTTATTTTATTTATTTTTTGGGCTGCATTGGGTCTTCGTTGCTGCACGCAGGCTTTCACTAGTTGTAGCAAGCGGGGACTACTTTTTTTTTTTTCCCCGCTGTACGCGGGCCTCTCACTGTTGTGGCCTCTCCCGTTGCGGAGCACAGGCTCCGGACGCACAGGCTCAGCAGCCATGGCTCACGGGCCCAGCCGCTCCACGGCATGTGGGATCTTCCCGGACCGGGGCACGAACCCGTGTCCCCTGCATCGGCAGGCGGACTCTCAACCACTGCGCCACCAGGGAAGCCCAGGGACTACTCTTCATCGCAGTGCGTGGGCTTCTTATTGCGGCGGCTTCTCTTGCTGCAGAGCACGGGCTCTAGGCACATGGGCTTCAGTAGTTGTGGCACGTGGGCTCAGTAGTTGCAGCATGCAGACTCAGTAGTTGTGGCTCGTGGGCTCTAGAGCGCAGGCTCAGTAGCTGTGGCGCACGGGCTTAGTTACTCCGCGGCATGTGGGATCTTCCCGGACCAGGGCTCGAACCCGTGTCCCCTGCAAAGGTAGGCTGATTCTTGACCACTGCGCCACCAGGGAAGTCCGGAAAGTAGTTTCTATATGGCTCTCTTAAAGCACAAACTTTTATAACTGGCTTTTCTGCTTATGGTCGCTCTAAGAGGCAGAGGCATCTGAAAAGGCTATGTGAGCCACCTCAGTTTGCATTTCTATGAGAAAGATAATTTATTCTTTAAACTGAAATTAGACATTCACCCCATATCTAGTCATCTGAGGCAGTGACATGCTTTTCCTGAGAGGAAGAGGAACCAGGCCATTTCCTGCAATGTTCTTCCTGCCTTCAAATCTAAATACTCTATCAATATTTTTCTACTGGGTGAATTTTATTTTGAGCAGTGATAAACTACCCTCAGGGAAATTATTTACTTTGCAATAGGGTCTAAATTCAAACATCTCTATTTCTGATTCCTTGAACATGAAACAAAGGCTGAAGTAAGAAAGACATTAAAATAGTTAATCCAAACTGCAGACTCCAGCGTTTGCCTCTGTTTCTTTCATAACTCTGGTTCCCAGGGTCAGTTGGCATGCTCATTCCCCCTGGATTTGATTGTTAGGTGGATAATGACATTCTACAAGGCAGGTTTCAAAGGCTGGACCCTGTGAAGGAAGGTGTTCAATAAATCAGAGTGTGAGCTCCATGGGAAAAGGGGTTTGTTTTTTTTCACGCTGTATCCCAGGTACAAGAACCAAGCCTGGCCCCTGATGAATGTGCGGAAGATATTTGTTGCATAACTGAGAGGGGAAGTACTTTGCCTATATTGGACTGAGCTATTCTCAAATACTTTCAGAACCATTTACCAATAACCGCCACTCATAACTTACTTTGAGCTGAGCATATCATTAATACGTTAAAAGGTGTTGCACATTTAAACGACTTTTTTGAGAAGAAAACAACCTATTGAAAAAAACAATATATGAGATTTTAAAAATTCCATTCATTTAACAAAGGGTTATTTACTAAATATTTGTTAAGCAACTAAAATGTTAAGACAACACATATTGTTATGAGGAAGATCATGCTGAGATTAATCAAATGGACATCACCCTCGAGATGCTTGTGGTGTGGGACTTCCCTGGTGGCGCAGTGGTTAAGAATCCAGCTGCTGATGCAGGGGACACGGGTTCGATCCCTGGTCCGGGAAGATCCCACACGCCACGGAGCAACTAAGCCAGTGCGCCACAACTACTGAGCCCGTGAGCCACAGCTACTGAAGCCCGCGCACCTAGAGCCCGTGCTCCGCAACAAGAGAAGCCACCGCAATGAGAAGCCTGCGCACTGCAATGAAGAGCAGCCCCCGCTCGCTGCAACTAGAGAAAGCCCATGCGCAGCAACGAAGACCCAACACAGCCAAAAATAAATAAATAAAATTGATTCTTTAAAAAAAAAGATGCTTGTGGTGACTCTAACAGGGAGACAGACACAGACATGTGTTCCTGTGTATTGTACAGAGAATGCTGGGGAGGACCTGGGAGATCCGGGAGGCTGACAGTTCCAGGGAGACTTCCAGGAGGAAGAGGACTGTGTCAAACACATATCTGTGTATCCTTACAGCCGAGCAAAGAGTAGATATTCATGTTTGTTGAATGAATGAATGATCCTTTCTTCATCACTGAGCCTGAGTCCTCAAGTTTAAAACAAAGCAAAAAACTCAAAATTAATAAATAATATGGTGTTTTAGTGGATCAAAGGAAGAGACCACATCTAGATCACAGAGGGTAGAAGAAATCGAGGGTCCTGAAGCAGATGGGGATGAAGCGCAAACTTCCAGGCTCAGGGAAGGACGTTCGTAAAGCTATGGAGGGGGAGGGGAAAATGGAGAGTGCAGGAAGTCCCCGGATGTAGCTGAAACAGGTGTGGGAGATGAGGATGGAGCGGACCGAGCCTAGGAGTGAGCAGGGCAGGCTGCTGGGCTAAGGGATTGATTCCCGGGTGGGCAAAGGGAGGTGCGGGGAGCGGGTTCACCTCGGGGGAGCATCCTGATCCGGGGGAGGGGATGCATTGTACTTGGACCAATGACCCAGCACAGGTGGGAAGCTGGACAGAAGAGGTTCAGACTAAAGGCAATGAGACCACTTAACTTTTCTATTCCAGGTGGAAACAAGAGCCGCAAAGATCTTATTTAGGAGATGGCCAGAGGGATTTTTTTTTTTTTTAAATCCGGAGACTTTAACGAACTGGAATGGAAAAGACAGATGGTTAATTATACACAGGGTCGAGGGTGAGGTGGGAGATGAGGGAAGAGGAAGGATAAAAAATGACTCCAAGCCCGAGCCTCAGTGACAGGAGTAAGGAGAGTGGCAGGAACAGCTGGTTTTATTGGGGGTGAGGCGTGAGGGTGAGAGCGTGAGGCTGGATTTAAACCTCTCAGGTGCAGTGAAGACAGCTCGCTGCGCGTGTCCGTCGTGCAGTGCAAAGCCTGGGGGTGATCACACAGTAGTAGCTTGAGCAGCAGGTGTCTTGTTTTTTTAAATGATGTTTTTATTTGAATAGGTTATACTGTCACATTTGGCAAGGTGAAAATGAATTCCCCGTCCCAGCCCTGGTTGCCTATTTTTTCTCTCTAGAAGGAACCACTGTTGCCAGTTTCTTGAGGATCATTCTAGAAATATTACATACATACGTTTTGTGTGTGCGTGCTGCGCTGTGCGGCTTGTGGGATCTTAGTTCCCCAGCCGGGGACTGAACCCGGGCCATGGAAGTGAAAGCCCCGAGTCCTAACCCCTGGGCCACCAGGGGATGTGTGTGTTTTCATGCCCCCAGGAGGGTTAGGTATTTTTGTTTTTTTAAAGGCTAGAAGGCTTGTATGTCTTTGAGACAGAAGGGAAAGAACAAGAAGAGAGGTGGAGACTGTGCAAGAGGAGTTACTGAAGCAAGGTCTGGAGGAGGTGAGAGGACATAATCAGGGATGCAGGCATATGCTTTAGCAGGAGGAGTGGACCCATTTCAGAGTCAGGAAGGGCAGGCTGATGGCAGTAGAGGTTTCTGATGCTGCATCACTTAGAGGACCTATGTATCCTGGCTGAATGGTGGCAGAGATGTGGGTAGAGGTAGATCAGTGGTTGAGGAGGATGAAAGGGAAGATATAAAATAGCCACTGTGGCTACTAGAAGGTGTCACAGGGCTGTCAGATCCCAAAATAATCAATCCAAAAAGGTTTATTTTGATAATTTATAAAAGAAAAATCACCATAGCAACTTAAAGTTATTTACAGATTTAAAAATAAATTTACAGAAATGTGTACACGTCATATTACATTAAATAGCTTTAGTTAAGATGTTACAGGTAGTGTTGAACATACACAACAAAACGTAAATCAAGTTCCAAACCACATAAATGCCCTCGAAGCACGCTCAAAAACCACTGGACGATGGCCCAGGAGAAACTGGCAGAATGAGCTTTCAGAGACCAGCAGTAAAGACGGTCACCCCACTGGTTGCAGGTGCTGCGGAAGTAAGAGTCACCCTAACCTTGAGCTGCGACCAGACACTGACACGTAAGACAGAGAGAAAACATGTGAGAGTGCTTTTTTTAAATTTAATTATCCTGGTGGAGCTCATAGAACACAGGACTTGAAAATTTATACTCTGATCCCACACGAAGGTGGGATGATGCTACTTGTGGCTAATTGGGCCTCATACTTTCTTTTGCAGGTTACATGGCAGGCAGTCTTCCAGCGTGCTGGGAAGGGATGGGTGAGGGGCACGGAAGCCATGGCTTTGGACTGCGCTGTCCCTGCCGGCTCAGGGCTTCAGCCACTCGTTAACAGCCCCAGGGGAATGACACCATCCAAAGCCTTGGCGCTGACCCTGGTCTTGGATGCTGCCTCTGGTAAGTGCTGGGCACTGTCCCTGCAGCCAGAGAGGGAACGCCTGGCAGCGGCCTGGGCACGCTCCCCTCAGTGAAGTTGCCAGGCTGAATGATACAGTGGCTGGCAGCTCCGTGGAGATGCTGAAGTTTGAGAGCTAAGTGTCAGGGAATGTTGATGACAGATAAGTTTCTGAGGAAAGTGTACAAAAAAAGGTGTTTACCAGGACCTGAGAATTACTATCCAGCTTAAGCAAAGGTATAGAGGGGTCCGTTTCTGCTCGTCCCTTTAAGTATGGTCTTGAAAATAAACAGAACTCCCCTCTTTCAGATTGCCTGACTTGCAGCCAGGTATGTGACCCTGAATTGTAAGTTCTAGCAAATGTGTTATTAATAATTAAAAACAGCTAATTTTACGAATCTGGCAACTAGGGACATTTCATGATTACAGGCCCTAAAAATTTAATACAGTACGATTTTTTCTTATATATAGATTGCTTACACATTAAAATATCAAAGGCACTGCTAGGTTACATGATAAACAAAAATACATCGAGACAGGATTATTTATTGGTTCCTTCAGTTTCTGGGTCCACCGTGATCCCTAACAGCCCAGTTTTGTGCTTCGCCTTTGGAGAACAGTGTGAAGGTAATGGCGCCAAATACGTTGACAGCAGCAGCAAGGCAGAAAACAGTTTGCCATTCTCCAACAGTGTTCTGCAGAGAAGGAAAGAAAAAATGCAAATGAAAAAGGATTTTGTTTGTAGTCCGCTTTAAAAAAAGGTGGTATCACAAGATTGTTTTTATGTGGCAGTAGCATTATTCATAAAAACTGGAAACAACCCAAATGTCCATCAACAGTGAGATGGTGGCATACGTGTTCCACGGACTACTTACAGCAACGACAACGAATGACCCACAACGACATCGATACGCCTCACAAACAAAGAGCGCACACTGAACGATTCCACTGATATACAGCCCATAATCTACGGTGTTAGAAAGGAGAGTGGTTCCTCTTGGTGGGGGTGAAAGAGAAAGGAAGGGCTACCTGGAGGCTTTGTGAGGGAGATAACGTGCTGTTTCTTGACTGGGTGGGCACTGGTCGCACAGATGTACTAACTTTCTGAAAATCTGTCCAGCTTGTGTACTTAGGATGTGTGCATTTAAAAAATGCATGTTACACTTCAATAAAAAAGTTTACTAAAAATAAAACATTGGCATGTCCTCAACTCGTGTGTTACGAGGAAAGTATTAGTATTATGCCTGCACATCATCTCCCAAGTTCTCAGGTATGGGGTGTCAGGGGCAGATCAAGTAAGGATGAGTTAAGATGGACACAGGTTCAGCCTGGCCTGAAAGATCCTGCAGGGCTCTTGAATGGCACACAACACAGAACATAGATGGGATCTGTCGGTAAGAGATCAACAAGACACAGTGTGTAATCCAGTGGTGTAAAAATATCCAGTAGTTATCTAAACCTCTGGGTCGTGTGGCTTATCTTTAACAACGTTTTTTTTTGGATTTTCACAATTTCAATGTAACCAGAGTGCTTCATTTGCAGCAGTTAGAAAAGAAAAAACCGAGCAGCTGAACTGGCAATGAGGAGGAAAAAGGAAAGGCACCAGCAAGTTGGCATGAAGTCACTTATGCAGGAAAAAAGGAAAAACACGGAGAAAGAAAGGAGTACTCTGTGGTCAATTATACTTATCTGAGATGAATGTATTCTGGTGGAAAAAAAAATCTTAGAAACCATCTTAAATGCTTGCTAACAACGTGTTACCATCCTAGAGCAGAAGTCAGTCAGTAATTACTAATTACTAATTACGGTCAGTAATTACTAATTACTAATCATATACCCGAGAGACGGGTTTAAGACAGCTTCTTAGGATTCTAAGAAAAAGCTGCTCTGTGTGATCTGCTGGATAAAATAATACCCCAGTGTTACCTGGAGGCAACGGGTGACTTAAAAATCAATCAACTGTACCAGAAATCACACAAAGCTCCTGGTCTGTTTTTTAACAAAAACTCCACCAGTTTTTAGAGAATGCTGTTTGGTCTGTAACGGAATTGAACCTCAGACACACTTTGACCTTTATTTCATCATTATTATTATTATTATTTGGCCACACTGCGAAGCTTGTGGGATCTCAGTTCCCCGACCAGGGACTGAATCTGAGCTACGGCAGTGAAAGCGACAAATCCTAACCACTGGACTGCCAGGGACTCCCTACTTCATTATTTATTTATAATAAATAAATAATTATAAAGTGCGGTAAACTTTAATTGTAAGCAATTACAATTGTACAGGTAAATGTGTTTCTCCTTTTTAAAAATAATGGCCTTTTTTAATAACATTAAACAAATGCTGTAACAATAGATCTGAAATCCAGTTCAGTTCCCACTTCACAAACGTTCAAGACTTGAATTCAGGAGTCCAGATCTTCCCAGCAGAAGTGCCAGGACTAGTGATAATGAATGAAATTACTCGTGGTAGTGTGCTGACTTAGGTTCCTGTGTTGCCACAATGCTCCATGAAGATAAGGGTAAACACCTGTGATGGGACATACTGAGCGGCCCCAACATTCCTTTCTGTTAAGTGAGAGAAAATGAGGCACTGATTCACTTGAGTAAGGAATTAGAAATGGTAGAGCACCACCTGCAGTGAACACCCCCGTGTCTGAAGTCCGAGTATTTGGTAATAAGACAATTTGTAGGCATATACTGAAATTCTAAGGATTAGATAGTGTTAATTTCATCACAGAGACAAAACAGAAAATTAAGTCTCTTTTAGAGGTTAAGTCAGCCTCTTGAAGAACACATTTCACTAGTCCTTTAGATTTTCTTAAGCAGTAGAAAACTGGAGTTGGAAAGGGCCTTTGAGGTCGCTGAATTTGATTTCTTACACAATATAACTCAGTGTCTCTGCTTCAGGCCACACAACCCCGGGCCCGCCGTGTTTCTGGGGCCTCAGTGCCCTGACACAGGCCGGATACCAGCCCTTCCCACACCCTGGCTCACTCCTCCAGGCTCCTTCCCCACAAACTGGTTGTTCCCTCCTCTGTGTCCACAGCAAGAGCATACATTTTTTCTGCAGCTTTGTCACACTGTACTTTCATTACATATAATCTCTATTTTTTTTTTTTTTTTTTTTTTGCGGTACTCGGGCCTCTCACTGTTGTGGCCTCTCCCGTTGCGGAGCACAGGCTCCGGACGCGCAGGCTCAGCGGCCATGGCTCACGGGCCCAGCCGCTCCGCGGCATGTGGGATCTTCCCGGACTGGGGCACGAACACGTGTCCCCTGCATCGGCAGGCAGACTCTCAACCACTGCGCCACCAGGGAAGTCCTTTTCCATATAATATCTAAATAATGAATTTCTCAAGTGTAGAATCTTATAATTTTGCCTTTGAATCCTTAGTATCTGTCACAGTAATAAGCACTCAGGAAATGCCAGTTGAATACATGTTTGACCGTTTCACGGCTCACTAACTCAAAGGGCAGCCCGTTCCACACAGTAACAGCTCTAAACAGAAAACTTGCCTATTGTCTCCTCGTACCTGCTCTCCATCTGGCTTTGTGGAACTACCGAGAATAAGTCACCATCTTTCAAATCTGTGAAGACACCTATACGTCTTCCTAAGTATTCTGCTCTTCTAAACGTTCTGGATTATTTCAACTGTTCCTGTTCATACCCGATTTCCTGACACTTTCGTGGTTCCATTTCTGGAATAATTCTACATTGCCAATTTTTATTTGTTCAAACCAAAGATACAAGTTATTTATCTGGTATAATATCACAACTTTTAAGTACTTGTGTGGTTTCAGTTACAAGATCTTCATTTAACTTAGTTCTGTTGTTCTGTCTAAAATTGAAAGTGTTCTTTGAAAATATACTTTCCCACCTATTACGGTATTTAGCTTTTTGTTGCTGTAAATAATTGCATAAGAATAGACATTCAGAATTTTATCCTTAATTAAAATATACTCAACTTTGACACAGGTGTGCAGCTTCAAATGAACTGTTTAGAGCTTTTCAGTTTATAGGCAAATTATCTACTTACCTCAGGGGTCAGACTTCTAGCAATGATGGGACCAATCATTCCAGGTATAGTGGCAAAGGTATTTGTGATGCCCAGGAGGATACCAGCATACCTGCAGAAACATTTTCATAGGGGTTTATAATTGTGTTACACATTTTTTTTGGGGGCGGGGGACCCCGCGCAGCTTGTGGGATCTTAGTTTGCCAACCAGGGATCGAATGCGTGCCCCCTGCAATGGAAGCGTGGAATCCTAACCACTGGACCGCCAGGGAATTCCCTGCATCACACATTTAAATAGCTTCTGTCCATAGATAGCTAGACCATTCCCAGGCTGTATTCTTGTGAAATTTTATGTCTAAATGAAACGTCTTACTGAAATAGGACTAAATATTTGGGGAGTGAAAAACTTACATTTCAATAGTTTTAACATCATATAGAGAAACACAGCCATTGAAATGATCCCTTTTACAGTGAAATAGAAAAGTGCTGAGATATGATTTTCATACAAGGCTGTATCTAGATAGGAAACTTCATGTGCCTTAAGATTTTTTAAGTTAAAAAGAGAATTTAGGGCTTCCCTGGTGGCGCAGTGGTTGAGAGTCCGCCTGCCGGTGCAGGGGACACGGGTTCGTGCCCCCGTCCAGGAGGATCCCACATGCCGTGGAGTGGCTGGGCCCGTGAGCCATGGCCACTGGGCCTGCACGTCCGGAGCCTGTGCTCCGCAACGGGAGAGGCCGCAGCGGTGAGGCCCACGTACCGCAAAAAAAAAAAAAGAGAATTTATTTCCTGATTACAAAATTTATGTCATTGTTAAAAAGTTTTTAAAAATATTACAAAGAAAGTAAAATTACTTATAATCCTTCTATATAGAGATAATCAACATTAATATTTTGGTAAATATCCTAATTATTTTTTTCTGTATATATTTTTAATATATTATAGAAATGAGATCATACTGAACACACAATTTCACAACTTACCTGTTCAACTTATTATGTATCTTCTTGTCGCTAAATCCTTGCACACTGTCCCAGAAATAGACAAGTTGGGTTTATATATATTGTAGTGTATGACAAAAATGCATTTTGAACTCTGTCTTTTCAGAATCTTTACTGTCCTCAAAGCTAGTACTTTGTGTTTTAAGAGGTACTCGTTCTCTAATTCAAGTTTGCTAATTCTGACTCCATAGTCTCCCTGAAAACTCATGTTTTATTCCCCTTTATTATTTCCAGTAGCCAGTGCAACATCTATGCTCATTCAATATGTGCTGACCACAGAAGTGCGTGTGACCCACAGGTGTTCAGGCCCACGCGTGGTCCTGTGAGGCTGCACTGCAATGACTGCTGAAGCTTGTCCCATGGAGACAAGCACCCCTTCTGCTCTTTGGCGCCAAAGGGTCGTACAGTATGCAACATTTCGGATTACATGCTAGGGTCGCTGAACATTATTTTAAGTTGTTGTGTGTATCGATAGTTGTGTGTGTCAATTGAAGAACCTGGGATTTTGTCCTGTAGATGGACCTACATTCTGGAGTTTGTAGACTGAGGCATCATTTAACATGGAGTTATGTCCCCTGTATTTCCTGCACACTGGTAGTATCTAGACTCGAGGTCCTAAAGGGTTCATTAGATTTACGTTTGATATTTTTAGCAAGAAAACGTAACGGTGGTGGTGGAGTTAAAAACTAGTTAAGCACGGACTTCCCTGGTGGCACAGTGGTTGGGAATCCGCCTGCCAATGCAGGGGACACGGGTTCGGGCCCTGGTCCGGGAAGATCCCACATGCCGCAGAGCAACTAGGCCCGTGCACCACAACTACTGAGCCTGCGCTCTAGAGCCCGCAAGCCACAACTACTGAGCCCGTGAGCCACAACTACTGAAGCCCGTGCGCCTAGAGCCTGTGCTCCGCAACAAGAGAAGCCACCACAATGAGAAGCCCGCGCACCGCAACGAAGAGTAGCCCCCGCTTGCCACAACTAGAGAAAGCCCGCGTGCAGCGACAGGGACCCAAGGCAGCCAAAAATAAATAAATTTATTAAAAAAAAAATTAGTTAAGCAAGTAAATGGCATTTATTAACTTATCACCTAGGTATATTCAAAGTCCAATTAGAGCTTTTAATTGTTTAATGAGATAATCAGTATTATAAAATTGTGGTCCAAATGAAAGAAACTTGATGTGTATTAGACCATATCGTCTTATTGTGGGATAATACTATCTCTATTAGGGTTTAGGATCCTCAATACCTTGGTTGCAGACTACTTATCTGAAATTCCTCTCCCCATTTTAGACATGGAAAAGTGCCCGCAATGGACTGAATTGTGTCCTCCCCCAATCCATACCTCCAATGTGACTGTATCTGGAGACAGGGCTTTTAGGAATTAATTAAGGTTAAATGAGGTCATAAAGGTAGGGTCTCAACCTAATAGGATTGGTGGCCTGCCAAGAAGAGGAAGAAAGAGAGATCGGGCTCTCTGTCTCTGTGAGCATATATGGAGGAAAGGCCACGCGTGAGGACACAGTGAAAAGGTGACTGTCTGCAAACGAGGAAGAGAGCCTTCACCAGAACCTAACCCTGCTGGCCCCCTGACCGCGGACTTCTAGCCTCCAGAACTGTGAGAAAATGAATTTCTGTTTTTTAAGCCACTCAGCCACATGGTGTTTTGTATGGCATCCTGAGTTGATTGACACAGTGCCTAAATAAAATATCCTGCTGAACCGAATTCAGTTATCTATAAACATCACAAATTTTTATGTTGAAAACTCGTGCACACAGGGTACAATAACAAAACCACGTGGCACAGATCTTTTTCGCTTATGCCCTTTAGGGAGCTGATCTTAAATTAACCAAGCTTGGCAGAACCTGTCCTTTTTTTTTTAAAACCATTAACACCTTGGCAGTAGGAGGAACCGACTGCAATGTTGCCAGGCCTTTTCAGTGACAGATATTAAGTGCAGATGAATGCTGTGAAATTCTAAATGTCAGCACCAAGAAACTCATTCAAGTATTTATATTACACTTGGCCAGGAAAGGCCATGAAAGATTGATGAGAGCCTGGAAAAAAGAACATGTTGTATGGACTCAGTCTGGATTCTGTGCTATTGGAGTCCTAGAATTCTGTGGGATTAATGGTTAAAAATCTATCCAAATCCCTTGAATCTGGGCAACAAAATTATCCATAGAAAACATCTATTTTAGTCTACAGAAGAAAAGGCTTAGAAAAATACCATGTAGACATATATTTATATGCTAAGAGGAATACTGACTGCCTACTGAAAAACCTTAGGTCAGGCAGGGTTCTAAGTATTTTATATAATTTATCCCACTTTAATAGTAAAATGAACCCCAACAGGTAGGGATTATTATCTATCTTCATTCTATAGGTAAGAAAGAGAGACTATAAAATGTTACCCAATTTGCCTGATTCCAAATCCCTACTTAATATTGGGATGTTTTATCTATGATGCTGGGGCTTGTGGTGGAAAACTAAGCAAGAGAAAACTGATCTTTCCTACAGATTGAATTCAGCGATGACTGTTTTCAATAAGGCAGCATTATAGATATATAAAATGTCCATCAACAGATGAATGGATAAAGAAGATGTGGTACACATATATACAATGAAATGTTAATCAGCCATAAAATAGAATGAAATAATGCCATTTGCAGCAACATGGATGGACCCAGAGATTGTCATACTGAGTGAAGTAAGTCAGACACAGAAAAGACAAATATCATATATCGCCTATATGCGGAATCTAAAAAAAATGGTACAAATGAACTATTTACAAAACAGAAATAGAGTCACAGATGTAGAAAACAAACTTATGGTTACCAGGGGGTAAGGGGGGAGGAGGGATAAATTGGGAGATTGGGACTGACATATACACACTACTATATATAAATAGATAACCAATAAGGACCTACTGTATAGCACAGGGAACTCTACTCAATACTCTGTAATGACCTATATGGGAAAAGAATCTAAAAGAGAGTGCATAGGGAGTTCCCTAGTGGCACCGTGGCTAAGACTCCATGCTCCCAATGCAGGGGAGCCCGGGTTCAATCCCTGGTCAGGGAACTAGAGCCCACATGCATGCCACGACTAAGAGTTCACATGCCACAACTAAGGAGCCTGCCTGCTGCAACTAAAACCAATGCAACCAAATAAATAAATAAATATTAAAAAAAATGAGTGGATATATGTATATGTATAACTGATTCACATGAAACTAACACAACATTGTAAATCAACTATATTCCAATAAAAATAAAAAAAAATAAACTATAGTCTCCTTGAGCATAGAATCTGGGTCTGCCTAGGACACATACCACTTTGGACAGTAGATGCTCAGTTAATATCTGTTGAATAGATTTTTTAAAATGATGTTTTATTTTCCTGCAATTTATCTACTATTCTCAGAGTAAGGGAGGAAAAGGATGAACCAAACCAAATTGTTGATTATGAAGATACTCCTCAAATGTGCAAGAAATACATCCCTCACCCCACCGCCTCGCTTGGATACAGCCAATTCTCATCACAGTTTCCAACCAATTATAATTATAATGCACAAAGGAGAGCCAATGGTTCAAACCATTTTAATAGTAAATACCAGTTATTGCTGTCATCCACCCATCCATTCATTCATTTAACAAACAATTCTTAAGTATGTCACTTGTGTCAACCACTATGGAAGACTCTGGTGTCCAACAATGAATTAAACATAGTTCTTCTCAAGGAGCTCACAGTTTACTTAATGAGAAAGATTATGGGCCAATAATGCAATAAAACCTAGTAGCCCGAAAAATCAAACTATGTTAGCGATTCATACCAGGGTTTACAGAAGCACAGAGGCAGGGCCTTAATCAACCCTCTGTGTGGGCGGGGGACATTTGAGGGGACCAGGGAGGGGATGCCTCAGGAAAAGCTTCTTAGAGGAAGTAGTGCTGGAGTTTGGCTGTAAGAGACGAGTGGGTGCAGAGAAAGTACAGGGAGGGGATGAAAATGTGTGAAGTCTCGGCAGCTGTCAAAGTAACAGGACAAGGGCCCACGCGGCACGTCCAGACATGGGAATTGCTGGGCTTGCCCAATTTCCACTCATTTTCAGCCGTTT